AATCACCACTGAAGAATGAACTCATTTAACCAAACACTACCTGTTCCCCGCAAAACCTATGGAAATAAAATAAAACAGAGACGGGGTCTATGTTGGTCAGGCTGGTCTCAAACTCCTGGCCTCAACTGATCCTCCTGCTTCACCCTCCCAAAGTGCTGGGATTACATGCATGAGCAAAGATGCCCGGCCCCTCCACATTTTATAGATGAGGAAAGTAAGGTACAGAGATGCTGAGGAACTAGCGCAAATTTCCACAGCTAGTAAGTGGCTTGGCTAACCAATCTCTAAATTGAGGAGAAATAGTAACATTTGCCTCATAGGCTTACTATGAGGAATAAATAGGAAAATATATGTAAAAAACTTACAGCAGTGTCTGTAAACAATAGCTATTATTACCAACCCTCTCATTTTATAGAAAAAGAGACTGGGACCCGGAGAGGGGGAAGGGCTAAGTTCATGTTACACAGTAACTCCATGGTAACCTGGCTAGAAGTCCTTCTCTCTCCTTCCTTCCTTTCTTTTCTTTTTCTTTTCTTTGACAAGATGTCGCTCTGTTGCCCAGGCTGGAGTGTAGTGGTGAGATTTCAGCTCACTGTAACCTCTGCCTCCTGGATTCAATCGATTTTGCAGCCTCAGCCTCCTGAGTAGCTGGAATTACAGGTGTGTGCCACCACGCCTGGCTAATTTTTGTATTTTTAGTAGAGATGGGGTTTCACCATGTAGGCCAGGCTGGTCTTGAACTCCTGACCTTAGATGATCTGCCTGCCTCAACCTCCCAAAGTGCTGGGATTACAGGTCTGAGCCACCGTGCCCTGCAAGAGTATAGTTTGAAAAAAAACATATTTCATAGTACTCATATATGTTTTAAATTTAATTTAGAAAAAAAAAACCCTTTTCTAGAATACTGTCTGCCTTAAGTAAAGTGAGATGAAATCCTCTTGCCTGGTGGAGCATGTGTTAAAAACCTTACTATCCATTCGGAGGAGCTCTGGGAGAGCTGGGGGAGGAGGAATGAGAAATTGACCCCTTGGGACTCCTCAGGTTTCCTGCTGGAATCTAATTGCCAAGTCCCCACCTTCCTGCAGGGGCGTGGAATCTGTTGACCTGATCCCAGTTACGTCACGTGTGCCTTCCCCTACGACACACTCACACTCAGTACTGGGCCCAGGGCAGCTCTGGGAGGGGCAGCATCCTAGGCTCAGGCTGGGTCTGTGCCAGTCATTGAGAGAAAGCCTCCCCAACTGCCAGATTCCACACTGCTGAAAAACTGTAATGGAAGCACTCGATAGCCATCAGACGAGCTCGCTTGACTTCCTGCCCTCTCTATGCTTGCATTTATCACCATTTCCTAGACACCCGGGTGTTCTTTTCTTCCAGACTTTCATTATTTGGCATCTAATTTCCACAGCCCTTTGGTGCCGGCAGGCATTTGGGTGGTCATTTTTCCTGCTGTTCCTCCCGGCTCCCTGTCCTGCCTAGCCCGGCTCCCATTCCTCCAGATGTGCAAACGAGTGGGTCACTTACTCTGTGGTGCTGCCCCTGAGGCCTTCTGTATGAACCTCAGGATAGGCACTCCTGGGAGTACTGGAAGATGCCCTATCTCCTGCTCTCTGAGAATTCTTTTTTTTTTTTTCGGGGTGGAGTCTCACTCTGTCACCCAGGCTGGAGTGCAATGGCGCGATCCCCACTCACTGCAACCTCTGCCTCCCACTTTCAACGATTCTCCTGCCTCAGCCTCTCCAGTAACTGGGACTACAGGCACCCGCAACCACGCCCAGCCAATTTTTGTATTTTTGGTAGAGATGGGGTTTCACCATGTTGGCCAAGATGGTCTTGATCTCTTGACCTCATGATCCACCTGCCTCGGCCTCCCAAAGTGCTGGAATTACAGGTGTGAGCCACCGCGCCCTGCCTCTGAGAATTCTTAGAATTGGGAAGCCAGGGTGCCCACTCTGGGTGCTGGGGAGATAGGACCTCTACTCCCTAGGAGCTGCAGGGCATTCGGCAGGGAGCTCACAGAACAGAAGGGAGTTGGGAGTAAGGATGTACTTGGAAAATTCATCAGGCACATAGGAAGATGGGCTGAAATGTAACTCAAACTTCAGTACCCTCAAAAGGGGAGGTGAGTTAGGACGTGGGAGCTGCACTATATTCCCACCTCCAAGGTGCTGGCCCCATTTACAGTTAAGCTGCACCCCAACCTTGGGTGAGGTGGGGGTGTGATACATTCCACTGCTTGGCCAAGTCTGCCACCTCCCATGGCAAAGGCCTCACCTCATCAGATTCATCTTGGGACCCAAATACTTCCTGTTCCTTTAGGAGAGGAAAAAGGGGGCCTCTTCTCCGAGAGTCTTTGCTGCTAATGGATATAGCAGACCCTGGCTGGAAACATGGTCTGTGTGAGGAACCATTTCCGTGCACTGTGGCAATTTACCAAGTTAGTCAGACCTGGCTATGAAATTGGGCGGGGTGGGGGAGGCTGGGTAGCCAGACTGAATTGAATGTTCTCCTTGTTCTCCCTCCCTCTTCCTGTCTCCCTCCTCTCTCTCCCTTCTCACTGTCCACACATAGAAAACTCTTATCATAGATATTTTAAAAGGCACCTCCTGCATTCATAGCTTATTGTTCAGGATAAAAGAAGCATGGCTAGACACACCCCGAGCAGGGAGGGGAGATGGAGCATTTCCAGTTCCTGCATCATGTAGCCCTAACCCTAGCCCTGAACCACCTTGCAGATGTGTGCTCTTGGTCCCGAGGGGGAATTTGCCAGGCCACGATTTGCCCAATGCAAACCCGGTCCCGACTGTGAAGAGAAGTCAGGGCTCACATCCCCCTTGGATTGGGGAGAGGATAGGGAGAAACAGGGATTACGATAGCGAATAAAATGGGAGGGTCTTCAAAGGGCAGGCCAGAGTAATTAACGATATGCTGTCTTCCTAGTCCCTGCCTCTCTACTGATTCTTTAATTCCTGGTATTTCTGAGGGGTAAAATACAGCCTGGATCTGTAGAGATTATAAGATTATAAGTGGTTTTAGTGGCCAGCTCAGTTTGTGGCCTCATATCAGATTCCTATCTAACCCCCTTGTCACCAACTCCTGACTTCTTGTGATGTCCTGTTCCCTGAACTCTCCTTGGCTTCTGACAGTGGCTTGGTATCCCCTGATCTCCCCAAAATAAGCTCCCAAAACCTTCACCAGTCTGCCAAGCCCTTCCCCTAGTCATTTCCCTAGTGTGAAGTTCAGGACTTTTAAAATTCCAATGGTTTGATTTATTAGTATCCCGCAGCCTAGTAGTTAAACAAACAAACGGCTAGATTGTTGAAAATTTAAGGATAGGAAGAATCTGTGGTCTGCTAGGTCTCCCTACCCCACCCCTCTTAGTTAAAAACTGTCTCACTGAAAGTTCAACCAGGCTGGGAGGATAAGCCAGTGGCCTGTATGCTTTTCACCACTGGGAGGCACATTTGGGGCATCCAGAAAGGGCTGTTTAGGCCTGGCACGGAGGAGAGGTGGGGACTGGGATGAGAGGATATTTGTTTGACAAGGGACTGTTGTCTTTTTTTCTTTCTTTGTTTTTTTTGAGATGGAGTGTTGCTCTCTTGCCCAGGCTGGAGTACAGTGGTGCTATCTCAGTTCATTGCAACCTCCATCTCCCCTGGTTCAAGTAATTCTCCTGCCTCAGCCTCCCAGCAGCTGGGATCACAGGCGCCCACCACTATGCCCAGATAAATTGTGGATGTATACATATATTTGTTTAGTAGAGACAGGGTTTTACAGTGTTGGCCAGGCTGGTCTCGAACTCCTGACCTCAAGTGATCTGCCCGCTTCGGCCTCCCAGAGTGCTGGGATTACAGACGTGAGCCACCACGCCTGGCCACTGTTGTCCTTTTAAAAAAATTAAGGGCTGGGCGCGGTGGCTTATGCCTGCAATCCCAGCACTTTGGGAGGCTCAGGCGGGCGGATCACGAGGTCAAGAGATTGAGATTATCCTGGCTAACATGGTGAAACCCCTTCTCTACTAAAAATACAAAAATTAATTGGGTATGGTGGCACATGCCTGTAGTCCCAGCTACTCAGGAGGCCGAGGCAGGAGAATCGCTTGAACCTGGGAGGCGGAAGTTGCAGTGAGCCGAGATAGCACCACTGCACTTCAGCCTGGTGACGGAGAGAGACTCATCTCAAAAAAAAAAAAAAAAAAATTAAAACAGCCCTTTAATTTTTATGAAAGAAACTATACATATTACATATTCCACTTAGAAAGTGAGGAAAACCACACATAAGGCCACCACTCAGAGATAGCCATTGGTAAGAGTATATTATATTTCCTTTCAGACTTTTTTCTAGGCATAGCCATACCTTTCCATTGCTGCCTGTAACATAATTTCTTTTTCTGACTGTAAAAGCAATGTATACTCAAGGTAAAATTTCCAAATGACAGAAAAATTGGAAGAATAAAATGAAAATTACCTCAATTCTACTATCTGAGATGACTACTGCTGATCCATTGATGTAGTTCCTCTCAGTCTTTTTCATTTAACTGAGATCATATAGTTCGTCTGCTTCTATATGCTTTTCACTTTATATTTTATCATGTTCTTTTTCTTTCTTTTTTTTTTTTTGAGAAGGAGTCTCCCTCTGTTGCCCAGGCTGGAGTGCAGTTGCATGATCTCGGCTCATTGCAACCTCTGCCTCCCAGGTTCAAGTGATTCTCCTACCTCAATCCCCTTCTGGGCTACAGGCATGCACTGCCACGACTGGCTAATTTTTCTATTTTTAGTAGAGACAGGGTTTTACCATGTTAGCCAGGCTGGTCTCGAACTCCTGACCTCATGATTCATCTGCCTTGACCTCCCAAAGTGCTGGGATTACAGGCGTGAGCCATTATACCCAGCCTGTCATGTTCATTTTCCCATGTCAACAAGTGTATATCTGAAACATGATATGTAAGGGCTGCATAGTCACTATGTGAACAGACTATAATTTATCCTTTTGCTTTTCAGGAGAGACAGGTTTGGGCAAGTCCACCCTCATGGACACCCTGTTCAACACCAAGTTTGAAGGGGAGCCAGCCACCCACACACAGCCAGGTGTCCAGCTCCGGTCTAATACCTATGACCTCCAAGAGAGCAATGTGGGGCTAAAGCTCACGATCGTTAGCACAGTTGGCTTTGGGGACCAGATCAACAAAGAGGACAGGTAAGGAAAGCAGTGGGGTGAGGTGGGGAGGTTGGTAGAGGGCCACACGGAGAAGCATGGGGGTCTTGAAGACAGCACAGATACTGGGCCCTAGTCTGTCGTCCCAGAATGATGTGGGCAGCAGATACCTCCTAAGCATCAGCCCTGTCAAGGTCCTTGTTTACAGCAACTGCTCCACTCCACTCACTTCGCCAAAAGAAGGGTGTCTGTAATATACATGGTTTGGGTCTCAATTCCATGCAACAAACATGTCTTGTGCTCCTACCTTGCACCAGGTACTGTCAGGCTCCGACCATCTAAAAAGGAATGGCTTAGTCTCTGCCCTTGAGGCACTCACAGGCAAAACCGGTTTTAAGCAAATAATTTCCATGGAGTATAAAATGCTCTGTAAAGAACAGGGTACAAAGAGATAAAGGACAAGTTACAATGAGAACGCAAGGGCGAGAACAGTCAATTCCACGTAGGGAGGTCAGGGAAGCCTTCCCAAAGGATGTGCGTCCTGAGCTGACTCTTGAAGGACGAACTGTTTTGCCAGACAGACAAGGGAAGGGAGACAGGGGCATCTTGGGCAGAGGTAACTGCCTGTATAAAGGCAAAGTGATGCGCAGGATTCTGGTGCGTTCTAGGAAAGTGCAGCTTGCTCTTTCTGTGTAGTGCAGCTAGACAGAGGCAGAGGCACTGTGAAGCTAATGAAGATTGTACAGGCCCCTTCCAGAACTCTGTAACTAATGTTCAATCACAATGTTGTATTATTTTCCTCAGAGAGTCTTTCAAATTGCATTAAGTGTAAGGGCTGGAAAAACTTGGTTCTGCCCTTGGGCTAGCACTTGGAATAAGCTTGGGGAAAAACAGGGGGAGAGGAGGCTGAAGAGGTAAGCAGGTGCCAGATCACAGAGGGATTTCTGATCGAGGCCAAAGGTAAAATAGGTGCTGAGATAAGAAAGAGGCGACAGACTTGCTAAATACTGAGTAGGTAAATATCAACACGACTTGGTGTAGGGTTGTGAAGGCAAAAGAAAAATCTAGAATGAGGCCAAAATTTCCAGCTTTGGAGAGTGGACACATGGTGGTGGCAGTCCATAAGAGAACCAGGGCTCAAAATAATCAGCTGTTTGGACATGTCGAGTTTGATCTGTCTGAGAAATACTGATATACGTGAGGCAGTTGAACACATAGAGTTGGAGATCAGAAGAGGCTAGAAATAAAGATTGGGTTATTAAGGTAGTGGTGATATGTCCCAACCATGGACACATGTAAAATCGCCCACGGATCAGAGTAGAGTGAGAAGAACACGGGACTAAAGACAAAAATCTCGGGATGTTAAATTCACAGACGAAGGAAAAGAAATCCTGAAAAGGGACTGAACAGCAGTAAGCAGAGAGATAGGAGAGGGGCTAGGAAAGATGTTGAGGGGCCAGGCAAGGTGGCTCATGCCTGTAATCCCAGAACTTTGGGAGACTGAGGCATGAAGATCACTTGAAGTCAGGAGTTCAAGATCAGCCTGGCCAACATGGTGAAACCCTGTCTGTACTAAAAATACAAAAATTAGCTGGGTGTGGTGGCAGGTGCCTGTAATTCCAGCTACTCTGGAGGCTGAGGTGGGAGAAGCACTTGAGCCTGGGAGATAGAGGTTGCAGTGAGCTGAGATTGCACCACTGCACTCCAGCCTGGGAGGCAGAGTGAGATTCTGTCTCAAAACAAACAAAAAAAAGATGTGGGGGGTTGAGAATGTGTATGAGTGAAGAGTAGGTGAGGCTCAGAGATGAGGATGTGATGAGGGGTGGGGTCAGGCACCATCTGCATTTAACCAGAAGTCACGTGGTTATCACATGTGTTAATCTCAGAAGGGCCATTCATCATTTTGAGCAGAGGGTCTTCTCATCCTTTCAGGATTCTCTTGCTTCTTAGAGGAACTTTGTGTCAAATTCTTTTATTTCCCCCTTAAAGCTGTAACAGCCACGCTTACTTCCTTATAATGAATAAATATATGTAGCTTCTTCATAATGCAGTTGAGTTCTGTTTTGCATTTGAAATTCTAGAAAAAAGACATCTCTACTTTGTTTTTTTTCTTTTTTTGAGATGGAGTCACGTTCTATCACCCAGGCTGGAGTGCAGTGGCACAATCTTGGCTGACTACAACCTCTGCCTCCCAGGTTCAAGCGATTCTCCTGCCTCAGCCTCTCAAGTAGCTGGAATTAGTCACGCACCACCACACCCCGCTGATTTTTCTGTAATTTTAGTAGAGATGAGGTTTTGCCATGTTGGCCAGGTTGGTCTCGAACTCCCGACCTCAAGTGATCCTCCCACCTCAGCCTTCCAAAAGTGCTGAGATTACAGGCGTGAGCCACTGCGTCTGGCCACCTCTGCTTTGTATAGGTATGCTTATTGTGCTATTCTTGTTTGGTTGAGAATAAATTAAACTTTGGAGAATGGGGATATTCAGACCACAATATGAGTGCTTAATCTCAGCTGCAGATTGCTCAAAAACTTCAGTTACATTTCTTACAGTTCTTCAGTTACATGCATTCAACATATCTAACATTGGACAATGCCTTGATAAAGATGGCTTGGGAGGACTGAAGAGATACTGCCCCTCAGAGGCAATTCTACTTCCGTTATATTTTTTAAATATCCGTATTGTTTTTTCCTGATTATAAATATGATACATACTTATAATAAATAAGTAGAAATGAAAAGCCTCCTTGAAATTTCACTGGGGAGCAGGGGTGGAGTAAGCTCCAGGGATCTGTAATAAAAAGCAGTGTTTTCTTCATGCTGTTAGCATAGAAATGTCAGTGAAACTGCATTGAAACCAGGCATTAGAATGTCCTGCTTTACAAGGGCACGTGCATAAACTGGGAGGAGAAATGAGTAAGGCTGGATACTGTGGAAAGCTGCCATTTAAACGATGCTGGAGGCAGGGCACGGTGGCTCAAGCCTGTAATTCTGGCACTTTGGAAAGCCGAGGTGGGCAAATCACTTGAGGCCAGGAGTTCAAGTTCAGTCTGGCCAACATGGTGAGATCCCATCTCTACTAAAAATACAGAAAATTAACTGGCCATGGTGGTGCGTGCCTATAATACCAGCTACTTGGGAGGCTGAGGCATGAGAATCACTTGAACCTGAACCTGAACCTGGAAGGCAGAGGTTGCAGTGAGCCAAGATCATGCCATGGCACTCTAGCCTGGGTGACAGAGTAAGATTCCATTCAAAAAATAAAATAAAAAAGGATGTTGAAGGTCGGGTGCAGTGGCTCACACCTGTAATCCTAGCACTTTGGGAGGCTGAGGTGGGCGGATCATGAGGTCAAGGAATCGAGACCATCTGGCAAACACAGCGAAACCCTGTCTCTAGTAAAAATACAAAAAATTAGAAGATGGCTGATCACTAGCAGCTCGGGATTGTAGCTCCCAGTGAAAGCACAGAGAAGGAGAGGACGCCACACTTTCAGATGAATTTTTGTTGCTCACGGACCAGGAGATTCCCAGTGGAGGAGCTCCACGGGTCGCCAGCACGACTCTTGTGGCCAGCGCGGTGGTTTTGCCAGCACCTCAGTGTGGCAGTTCTTGGTGCAGAGTAAACGGGACTGGGTCCCCTTTTGGTCAACATTTGGAGCTCCGGGAAGGCAGAGTCACCTATTCAGCTGATTGAAGGACGGACTCAAGAAGGAAGCCAGACCAGAGATTCCTGGGTAGAAAAGCACCATCAATCTTAACACCGATGTTTTAGCCAGCGAAGTGGGTTGCTCAGATTCCAGTGCTGGGAATCAACAAGTTGGACGTCCACTCAGAGACCTAATTAGAAAGTCGGTAATTACAAGGACGACAGATGGATAAATTTATAATGATGGGAAGAAACCAGCCTAAAAAGGCTGAGAATACCCAAAATCAGAATGCCTCTCCCTCTACAGTGGATCACAGTTCCTCATCAGCAATGGAACAAGGCCTGATGGAGAGCAAGTGCGTTCCATTAACATAAGTAGGCTTCAGAAGGTGGATGATAAGAAACTTCTGTGAGTTAAAAGAACATGTTCTAACCCAATGCAAAGAAACTAAGAACTTTGAAAAAGGTTTGATGAAATCCTAACGAGAATAGACAATTTAGAGAGGAATGTAAGTGAATTAATGGAACTGAAGAATACAATGCGAGAACTCCCATGAAGTATGCACAGGTTTTAACAGCCGAATTGATCAAGTGGAAGAAAGGATATCAGAGGTTGAAGACCAACTTAATGAAATGAAAGGAGAAGACAAGATTAGATTAAGAAAGAGTTAAAAAGGAATGAGCACAGTCTCCAAGAAATATGGGACTATGTGAAAAGACCTAATTTACGTTTGATAGATGTACCTGAATGTCATGAAGAGAATGAATCCAAGCTGGAAAATATTCTTTAGGATATTATTCAGGAAAACTTTCCTAACCTAGTAAGGCAGGACAATACTCAACTCCAGCTAATAGAGAGCACACCACAAAGACATTCCTCAAGTAGAGCAACCCCAAGACACATAATCATTAGATTCACCAGGGTTGAAAAATAGAAAAAAATTCTAAGGGCAGCTAGAGAGAAGGGTCAGGTCACCCATAAGGGGAAGCCAATCAGACTCACAGCAGATCTCTCAGCAGAAACCCTACAAACTAGAAGAGAGTAGGGGTTAATATTCAATATCCTCAAAGAAAAGAATTTCAACTCAAATCTCATATCCAGCCAAACTGAGCTTTATAAATGAAGGAAAAATAAAATTTTTCATGAACAAGCAAGCACTCAGAGATTTCATCACCACCAGGCCTGCTTTACAAGAGCTTCTGAAAGAAGCACTATACACAGAACAGAACAACCAGTATCAGTCATCCCAAAAACTTACCAAAAGGTAAAGAGTATCTCCATAATGAAGAATCTATATCAACCAACGGGCAAAATAGCCAGCTAGCATTAAACGACAATATTAAACTCACAAATATCAATGTTAATCCTAAATTTAAATGGATTAAATGCCCCAATC